GCTGACCCTGCACGTAGGCAACTTAATGTTCAGGAACAAACTCGAGGAGATCCCATATGGATTTCTTAAGCTACTTGGCTGCATAGTTCCTTCCTGTCTTGTATTTTCCTAGCTAATTCCATCTGTCTGAGCCTCCCTGGGCCCTGTTCTTGGGTTTCCTCTCAACGCTTTGCCAGCACGGACTGCTCATCTGGGCAGACAGTTTAGAGAACTATAGGAATCAGTCATTCCCCTTCTCTCAGTTCACATCTGGTGCTTCTTTGGTCTAATATCAGTAAACAACAATTTCTTACTTGTTTTTACTGGGCAGGCTTATCCAGTCCCGGTTAATCTGTCATGGCCAGAAACAATTTCAGTTGTTATAAATATCCTGGGTGTTTCCTCGTACACATGAAGGTAGCCTTTGAGACCATCTTGGTTTTGAGAAGGAAGCGGATTTTGGAGAACAAGAGAGGGGAGACTTCAAGGCTATTTACTGTGCCCATGCTGGTTACAAACTGAGATTAGGCACAAATCCATGGTTGGGTTTCCCAAAAAGGTAGAGGGCATGGCAAGTAGGGGATAGGGAGTGACAAGTGGGAGAAGAAGAGTGACTGTGACTTCCAGGTTCTCCCCCTGAATCATCTTTCAAATGTAAGGTATGTAAGTCAAGCACAATCTCTCTGCCCATTCGAACTGTTACAAGAAAGCAAGGTTTTTCCTGACTCGAAAAATTTCGTATCTCTAATTTCACTTATGGATGTGACTTTCTTTTCCTGTTTAATGTCCTTGGTACTTTAAGAATTTCTTCAATCTTTTGCATTAGTGCTATTTATCAATGGCATCAAAAGGCCAGGCATTCTATTAAGGAATTGCATTCATAAAGTCATTTCATTTTCACAATGATCCTTGTAGTAGGTACCAGTATGATCTCTATGAGGGTTTCTCAGAAAGTTGATGGAGAATGAATATTAGGAGAAAACTCATGCATTCCTTTTTTTTTTTTTTTTTTTTTTTTTTTGACAGGCAGAGTGGACAGTGAGAGAGAGAGACAGAGAGAAAGGTCTTCCTTTGCCGTTGGTTCACCCTCCAATGGCCAGCGCTGCAGGAGCCAGGTGCTTCTCCTGGTCTCCCATGCGGGTGCAGGGTCCAAGCACTTGGGCCATCCTCCACTGCCCTCCCGGCCCACAGCAGAGAGCTGGCCTGGAAAAGGAGCAACCGGGACAGAATATGGCGCCCCGACCGGGACTAGAACCCAGTGTGCTGGCTCCGTAGGTGGAGGATTAGCCTAGTGAGCCGCGGTGCCAGCCATGCATTCGTTTTTTGAACTAAGTGAACTCATCTTTTTATTCCATTTTCCAAGAACTTTTTGAAGTTTCCTCATATTTTTTCCATAAGGAGAGCAAGGCTTAGAGAAATTAAGAAATTTGCCCAAGCTCACACATCTTGGAAGCAGCAGGACCAGGATCTGGGGCTCTGCCTCTCTCATTTTGTGCTCTGCATTCTTCCCTTTACTACACATTGCCTCTGTGCTGGAGTGCAGTGTTTGCACGGTTGATGGTAGGAATCCTGAACTTCCTCCTCTTGTGGCTGCACAGCATCTAGCAGAGGCCTTGCCCACCACTGTTCCCCTTTGTTACAAGAAATAGTCCCGAAGTCTCAGAATTTCAGTGTCGCTCGGTTTTAGTTAGCTTGTTCTTAACATTCCGTGGTCACTAGAGACAGAAGACTTGATCCTGTTGTAAAGTGTGCATACCTGGTGATTACAGATTTGGGGGTGATTGTCACTGTGATATTTGTTCCTTTTAGACATGACTGTAGCTTGTCTTTTCTGACAAAATAGTTTTCTTTCTTTCTTTCGTTCTTTTGGAGTAGAGGTCCACTAGCTCACTTCTCAAATGTCTGCAAGGCATTCCGCCCACCCAGAACAGAAGCCAGGAGCCAAGAACTCAGTCAGAATCGTCCACTTGAGTGGTAGGAGCCCAGTGACTTAAGCCCCCACCTCTGCCTTCCAGAATCTGCATTAGCAGGAAGCCAGAGTCATGAACCAGAACTGGAAGTGAATCCAGGCACTGTGATGTGGGACACAGATGTCTTAACTCCAGGGCTAATGGCTCTTCCCAAGATTGATTTTTATGTTTTCTGTAGTAAATGTTTATTAACAAATGTTAGCAATGTTAGGCAATTAGCAACTGTTAGATAAATGTCTATTGAAATAAGATACATAGGCCCAAGTAATGATAGAAATAGCACCATAATGCCCTCTAATCAGTAACTTGAAGTTCCCTGTTTGTTTGCTAACCAAATATAGTTCAGAGGACTGTCTTGGTTAAGTCTGTCAGTAGGGAGACAATAAAGCTGTTCTTCAGGAAATAGCTTGGTGCCCATCAACATCCCCCAAGGGATGACAGAGCCTCTGGGTGCTTTAAAGACTTACATTAGATGAAGGAAAAAAAAAATTGAATACTGGATGGTGGTTTCCACAATGCCTTCACCTCTCCTTCAGGGTCAAACGTGCATGTTCTGGGAGTCATTTAAGCTCCATCTGATAAGCCTCTGTAGTTGAACTCACAAGCTCTGTGTGAACTGGTATTGCCAGGCCAGGGGCTAAATGTAAGGTGAGAAAGCCTGCCTGCTGGAGGCTGCTCAAAAAAATCTCTGAGAACTTCTGTAGAATCTTTAATTATTCAATTAGAAAATGCCACTAGCGCCAGAGTGAGAGGAGAGGAGAGGGACATGGGAGTAACATTGTTCCTGTGTCTGAAACTTTGAATTCAGAAAAACAGAAAGAGAATACTATATAGTATATATTTATATATAGATAATATATAATAGTAAAGTTGCTCTGGTAAGGCAGCCCATCTGTTTCTGACCACCATGCTGTAGTCTCCAGAATTCTTTTTCACTGACCAAAATCTTTAGAATTGTCAGGTTCAGTCCTTAGGAAACTCTCCTCTGTATTTCCATCTAAAATGACTGCATTCAGAGTGAGCAACTTTAAATCTTTATTTTCCATCATATGGCACTTGCAAAAAGATCTGTAGCGTGACGGTTCTTGTTCTGTCCAAAAATGTAGAAGCCAAGGGAGGGCAGAGAAGAAAAGAGAGATGTGGAGGTTCTTGTCCTTCAAGCAAAGGGAGAGAGCTCCTTAGAAGTAAGTGCAATTATCTCACTTTTTTTTCTTAGGATTTTTTTTCTTAGAATATTTATTTCTTCATTGGAGAGTCAGAGAAACAGAGAAAGACAGATAGCACTCCCATCCACATCAGATGTACACAACAGCTGGGACTGGGCCAAGTAAAAGCCAAGAACCAGGAATTCCAACTGGGTCTCGCAGGGAGGTGGCAGGAATCCAAGGGCTTGAGCCATCTCCTGCCGCCTGCTAGGTTATGCGTTAACAGAAAGCTGGATTGGAAGTAGAGCCAGGACTTAAACCTGCTGTGGAATGCAGGTGTCCCAACGAGTGTCTTAACTACTAGGCCAAATGCCAGTCCTTCACGTGGTCTTTTGAGACGCAGGATCTTCCCTCTGTTGTTAATTTTATAAAAAGGACACTTATTTATGAATCACTTTCCTCCTTACTCAGAGTAGATTATTGAACAGTCATCAAGGAATTGATTTGTATTCCCTACAGGCCCAAAGTGGATTCAGGCAACAATGGGAGGGCCCAGCATAAATGGACTGTTTCAGATCACTGAGTATATCCTGTCTCCCAGAATACTGTTAGGTTATACTGAACAGCATGTTGGATGATAAAGAGCATAAGGGACCACAGGCCTTTATTCTTCTTGTCTGGGTAACACTCTTAGAAAAAAAGAAAAATCAATTTGAGTCTCACTGCTGCCAAGCAGGGACTTAAAGGGTAATGGGGAAAAGGGAGCTTCCATTTTTAACAGAAACAGGTCCAAGGAAAATTTTACGTACAGTCTAAACTGGACTAAACTTTCTTCAGTGAATGAATTCATATAAAGTATTATACCTAATAGTCATGCTGCAGGGAGTTGGTACATTAACCACCTCAAGACTACGTGTGTGTTTGAACAGAACGATCCAACAGAGCAGTTGTCTTTATTGCAGCTGCTTTCAAGGACTCCAGCTTGTCTGAATATTTCATGCCATTGTATTTTACCTAGGATATTTCTGTTAGTAAAAACGTTGTATTCATTAACTAATCCAATCAGAATTTGTTCCAGGGTTGCTGTGTGAAGAGCATTGTGCTTGATTTTCTCTGAAATTATGTCTTTATCCATTTATTCATGTGACAGATATTTATTGTATGTTAATATATGCCAAGAACTGTTCCTGGCACTGGAAGTGTTATATCAGCATAACAAATGTGGCTTCTAACCCCCTCTGCAGCTATGTGCTGTTGGGGGAAGTCAGGCACTCATAAAGTAATTCTGCAAAGAAGAGAGGAGATATGCTAACCCCCTTTATCCAGCTATCCACGTGTGATCATCACTTAACAACAGCTGGGAAATAGGATACCAGATTTTAATGATAACATGATCTGATTTGATGGCCAAGTATGGGATCCTTGACACTCATCTTAGGCATTTCTCACAATAGTTTTGTAAATTACATATTATTAGTTCCATTTATTCAGACAAAAAAAGTCTTAAAAGAGAATGTGAATTTCTCAAGGTACCAAGTGTCGCTCCCCCTCTTCGTGGAGGAACGACACAAGACCCTGCCTAGGCTTCATATCCGAGTCACGGCACCATTATGTCGCCCCCCCTCTTCGTGGAGGAACAACACAGGACCCTGCGCTGTTCTTTTGTCTGCTCGGCCCTCCCCGGGTTTGCTGCTGGTTCTTCCCGGGTTGGCTACCGTCCCTTCCACCTCCGTGGAAGGGCGGTTCCCCCTGCCACATTCCCCACTTCCGCAGGGGAGCGGCACACCGCCGGCCGGCTCTCTCGGGGGCTACACAGGTGTTCCTTCAGCTAGATGTTCCCCTTAGATGTTCCTGGTGCATGCCATCTCTCTCCTCCTTTATAGTCCTCCTCCGCCAATCCTAACTCGGCTGCCCACACACCGAGTACACTGCTCTCCTCCAATCAGGAGCAGGATCAGCTCCTGGAGGTCATCACTCAAGTTGGCAAGAGGCAGCTGTGTAGAAGCTGTTTTCTCCTCTCCCAGCGCCATATTGTGGGAGAGCAGATGCATAGAATAAGTCCTAATTCCAGTAACTTAGTCCAGTCCGGGTTGCTCCCCACACCAAGGCTGGCAAAAGGCAAATTTGGAATTGAACCCTTCCCTTCCGACCATCAATTACATGTTTTTCTCTGCAGTACTGCCTAAAATATGAGTACAAGTGTACTTCAAAAGTTAATGAAAATTGAATTAAAAGATAAGTCTATTTGGGTGCCAAACAACGTTGAATCTATGACTGGTTTTCTCATAATACAAAATCTTTAATGAATTTTTTGAAGACCTCTGGCATGCATGGATTTCAGAAAAGTTTTGTACCAAAATAAACTTGTCTCTTATTTATTTTTGTAAATTTTAACATGATCACAGATCCATAAAACTTGGCAGTAAAGCATTCTTAATCATTGGTTTGCATTAATTCCATGTTCTATCCACTTTTCAAAATACCCTTGTACATTGGATAAACCATCCACAAATTCTTTTGTACATTTCAGGTTAGTAATCTTTCTGGAAATAAACTTTTACCAAATCATGACAGATATTTTGCTTCTAAGAACTTTTATTAAACCTGGTGTTTGTTTAGTGGTGAAGAGGTGGAGGGGGGAAATTGCCTTCGCACATGTGCTGCGTGAGTCTTCACAAATCTCAGTCCAGGCGAAGCTCATTACACTCTGCAGTCTTCCTAAGGAAGTGGATGGAAGTTAGAGCTGAGACACAAACAGGAAGGCTGGGAGGCAGCATTTGTCCGGCAGGCACCACCTCTTTAAATAGCTGCTGTGCAGGGGGAATTAGTTCTCCACTTAGAGAAGGAACTCCATTGCCCTTTGTTTGTAGTCCTGCAGGGCTGGAGGTCGCCAGTGGCAGTGCTGTCATTTCAGAGGTTGAAGGCAATGCTCAGTGGGTGTGGGGTGCCAGACTGCCTGCCTCTGGGCCATGAGCGGACCCTGGCACAGAGATTTGGGCTTCTCCCGTAAGAATATCAGCCCCGAGACTTCCAACCTGCTGAAAGGTAAGCTTCCAAGTGCTTCTGAATTCAATACTTGGGCTGCAGACTTCTTTCAGTAGGCTGGCTCTTTTTTGATTGCAAAGAGAAGGGAAAAGTGCCAGTAGTTGTTAGAGCTTTTTAATTGTTAAGCCATTATTACAGTTTTGTTAGTAGTTTGTAGGCATTTTAAGTGCTAGTGATTTGTAATTTTTTTCACCTTTCAAATTAGCTTTTTGTTATGGTGTGAAAAGCTCAGATATGGAAGGAAAGTAGGTAAGTCCGATTACTAATCTGAGAAGACTAGCTAAAGTGGAATCTTAATAGTTGCCCTAAAGTGAATGGCATACAAGTCCTCTGATTCCAGTTCCTGTTTTTGTGCTGGAGTCGTTCAACAATCTAAGCCAATCTTTGCAGATAATCATCTAACTTTAGAAACATTTCTTGAGGTAGACTATTACCTAAGCACACTGTTCCACTCTTTAGTGGAAATAATGCATTACTCTGGTCAGGCTACCAAACCTGTCTTGTTTTCAGTGCATGGAACAAAGGCCGCCAGCCAGAGTGGCTGCTTGTGGCCTTGGTTCTGCAGAAGAGGTGAGTGGACAGGGACTGCTCATTCTTTGCCTGCGCAGTAGAAAAGAGTTTCTTCCCTGGGATTTGTGTGACCTGCATCTGTCCATTTTTTCTGATTTTTTTTTTTTTTTTTTGGCTTCTGCCTACTCCTCCCCTGTGTAGCTTCTTCAAGATTAATTATCACCTGGGCTAGAGTGTAGGAGTCTTCTGGAAGCCAGTGACCTGATTTGTCTGATCTGTAGCAAACAGCAGCTGCACTTTGAAAAACACAAAAGTATGCTCTTCCCAGAAAGGTTTCTATAATATCTTGTAATCTCTCTGATTATGCTTGTTTTTATTGTCACTGTTACTTGAGAGCCAGAGAAAGAGAGTATGTGACAGACAGAGTTCCCATCTGCAGGCTCACTCCTCAAATGCCCAAAACAGGTTGGGGCTGGCCTGAATCTGGGAGCTGGGAATACAATCTAGGTCTCCCACAATGGGGGGCAATTACTTGAACCATCACCACGGCCTCCCAGGGTCTCCAGTAGCAGGAAGATGAAGTCAGGAGCCTGAGCTGGAGATTGAACCCATGTACTCCTCTGCACGACATGGGCATCTTAGACACAAGGTAAATACCCACTCCCTGATAAACTTCTTTTCATGTTTAACTTTTAGGCACTGTCATCCATCCAGCCACCTTGCCAGTGACTCCTTACTTCTCTCATTTCATTTTTGTTCTTGTTCCTGTCCTTAGTGTTGTGTTTGGAGGGGGAAGGAGGAGTATTAGGAGAGGTGCTCTTGTGTTTATTTGAATTTAATTTCCTTTAAATTAGATTTGGATCATGTGCTTTAGGGCATTATGGATTCTTTTTCCTTGAGTCCTATCATCTTTCTATTTGCAAAGCTGTGTTTATAGTTTCTTTATTGTATTTAAATTGTTTTACTTGTATATTTGTAATCAAGAGATAAAGTCTACTTTGATCCTATTGAGTTTCTTCTTGGATTACAGTGTGGTACAGAAGCCTTCTTCAATGAAATATGGCTTGTCTGCGTTGTGTGTGGATGTGGGTAAAAGATTATTTTTTTCCAGTTTTACCTTTGTTTCAGAAGGTGTAAGCAGAACCAAAGTCCATGATAGGGTGTGGGTTTCCGGTGTCATGCCTAGGATGTGATGTTAGCTTGGTGTGCGCAATTGCAGAAATAATAATGTCACACATGCTTTGGTGATTATTCCTAAAAAAAAGTGATTTTGTTTAAATCTCTTAAGTGATCATGAGTTTGTGATGTATCTAGATAATTTTTTCTAAGTTACTCACTGTGCAGTTTCTGTCTGATGGTCCCTGAAGTTCTAAATACAATCAAATCACTGCTCCCTTCTCCTATAGGCCCCTTGGTATATGGACCTATCCTGAGACCCTGGTTAAATGCCAAACCAAGGGATTAAATGAGTAGGGGCTGTCCTAATCAAAGGCAAGTTTAACAAGATAAGACTGATGTTTAGATTTGAAAATATAAACAAAAAGATCTTATTTTTATGGTAGGGGTAAGGGGGATCAGATAGAACCCAGAACAACACTTAGTGTCTCTAAGCAAACAAAAGCTTTCACAGGGAACAGATTCTGAAAACAATGGTCCTAACAATCCTGTTGGCCAAGGATGGGGCCAAAATTTTAGAGAAAAAAGGTACAAAATAGCCTATGGATGAACTGAAAGGAAATCAGTGCCTCTCCCTTAAGTGAAATGACAAAGTAAGGTTTAGTAGAAGGCCTCCTACCGCCTTCAGTTGAGCTGATTGCAGGAATGTGTTTTAAATGCCTGCTTAAAGCCCCAGAGGTGGTGTTTTCAATCAGTCTTGCTGACATAGACTGCAGACCCTGCCTGGACATTTTCCAAAAGTAGAGGATGAAAACAGTTCAGCTAAGATGGACAGTACTCTTATAGTAAAGGCCTTCCCTGGCGAGCCTGGAGACGGGGAGTGTGGCAGCCTTTCAGTCCTCTCTCAAGGCAGTGCAGCTTGTGATAAGACCATTCAGAGATGGAAGATTGCACCAAGAACAATCCCACCGTGCTTATCTGCCCAGAAGGAAGGAGAGAGGCAGAAAGGGGGGATTGTTTCTTAGTGATAGAGAGACCTGTGGAGTATTTCAGAGGGGGAAGAAAAAGCTATTGAGAGGAGTGTTTGGGCAGTGTCAGTGCTGATTAGATGGACATTCATTCTAGGGGACTGCAGTGAGGAGTAAATGATAGGTTTGCAAAGCTCATTTACCAAACACACTTGGGTAAGTAAGCAAACAGGCCTTGTGCTGTTAGCTATGAAAGTTCACCAGAAGCAATCCTCCGCAGGTCAGATGTGTTTGATTAAATGCACTGGAAAATTTAATTCTTTTTTTCTGTTAGGAACACCCATGGTAAAATTGGGGCCAGTGTGGAAAGGATATCTAAACCAGAATTCCCAAGAATCCAAGTGGGTGCTTTCCCCAAATCACTATTTGGAACAATAATTCCAAACAGATCCCATTGTTTGGAAAAGACAGCTGCAAGGCATAATATTTCAGTTATTTGTGCATTGAAGTGGTGTTTAACAATCCGCAAGTTCTAGATTAAATAGATGTTGCCAGAGATTTTTTTTTTTTGCCCTATTTTTCTTCCTGTTCCACAACTCCTAGAGTTCATCCCCCAAAATGCTGCCATAACTTGGAGATGCAGAGGCAGGAACCATGTCACAGTCCTGCCTGCTGATGGCGGGGGCTTCCAGGAGAGTCCCCAGTGCTGATCAGTGCCTACGGGCTTTGTACTGTGCACCTATAATAACTTTATGAATATTTCACGCAGGATGCTTTGTAGCAAACAGAGTTAAAATGGAGGCTCTCAGATGAGTTCACATTAGGAGACTCTTTTTTAATAAATCATATTTTACCCTTTCACTTCATGCTTTGTCAACCATGAATTATTCAGTAGGTATGAATCTGCTAGTATATTTTGATAAAGCATTATGGGATTTATCCTTTGATCCATCCCTGGCAACTTCTTTTTATTCTCCTGTCTAAAAAAGGATAGATTTATTTATTTATTATTTGTTTAAAAAGGCATAGTGTCAGAGAGAGAGAGGGAGAGACACTGAGAGGGAGAGAGAGAGAGATCTTCCACCTGTTTGTTCACTCCCCAAATGACCACAATAACCAGGGCTCGGCCAGGCTGAAGCCAGGAGCCAGGAACTCTATCCGGGTCTCCTACGTGGGTGGGTGGCAGGGGCCTTAGTACTTGGGCTGTCCTTGGCTGCTTTCTCAGACATATTAGCAAGGAAGTGGATAGGAACTGGAACAGCCAGGATTTGAACCAGCGTTCATACGGGATGTGCGCATCACAGGTGGCAGCTTAACCAGCCGTGCCACAATGCCAGTCCCTCCCTTTTTTAAAAAACAAAACACTCTAAACCATCATCTCTTTTTTTTAATTAGATGAATCTGTGGGCTTCCTTTATTAATAGGAACTTTGAATCTCTCAAAGCCCCCTTCAAATCTGGAGGCTGGAAGAGAGCAGAAGTCACTATTAGGTAAACTCAAAAAGTGGCGGATTGTCCAAAGTCACAGAGGTGCCTGTGGGGTTGAAAGATCCATTGATAGAAACCTGTAGGCTTTTGTGGTAGTGGTAGGAGTGGAAGCATGGCATGCTGGAGCAAGATAAGACATTTGAGATAGAAAACTTGGTACAGGAGTTTTCACATTTGCCTCAGGAAAATTCTAAGGGTGTGAATGGGGCACGTGGGGGTGGAAGGACCTCTGTACCCTCGTCCATGAGCCAACCAGGGATGTTCTGCATTTTTCCTTTTGAATTCCCAGCTTCTATACAAGTTTTTATTTGAACAAATTTTGTAATTCAACAAAGTGGAAACCATTGAACAAATATGGTTGCTGGCATACTGCTGGCTAGCCTTGAGAGTGGAGCTTCTGCTTCCTGCTTCCTTATGTTCATTAATAATCGGTGTCTGCCAACAGGTGATTGGGCTAGTGGTTAAGCCTCCCATGTCTCATCAGAGTGCTCCAGCTTCTGCTGATACAGACCCTGGAAGGCAGCAGTGAGGGCTCAAGTAACTGGGTTCCTGCTCCCCAGGTGGAAGACCTGGATTGAGTTCCCAGCTCCTGGCTTTGGCTCCAGCCCAGCTCCAGCTATTGCAGAAATTTGGATAAGAGCCATCTCTCTTTGTTTCTCTTCCTCTCAAATAAGTACATAATTGTTGTTTGAAAACAGAATCAGCTTCTGCACTACAGGGCAGAGCAGTCATTTTTAGCTCAAATCAATAATGCAATGTTCTTACAGATGGACACCATTTGTTCACTACCCCTCAGGGCCCATGCATGTTACAAATAGAGTTTCATTGATCTTCACACACACACACACAACACACACACAACCCTCCATGAGGAAGCCAAGGCACACTGAGGTTAAGTGTCTTGCCCAGGTTGTAAGTT